TATAGGCAGCACACACAGGGTGAGACTATATTCTCATCGGCTAAGGAGCCCATTCATTCTTCCCAGGTGAGCGTGGTGATAAACATAACATTACAATTATGACCGTTACGTGATGTGTACCACACGACTTCGTGATTACCAAACTATCGTCAAATCGATGCAATTATATACATTGTAAATAAAACAGTGGTGAATGTGAATCCGAAACGATTTGGAAAATGTAAATTATCTAGAATTATAGTAGAAATCACAGAACAAATACTGTTAGGGACGAACCAATATTTATGGAAGGGGTGGAATCGTGATTTTAAGAGAGAACACAATCCGCCTGAAATAGACACGAGATTGAAGCACAAACACATCTTAATACTACCTTAGCTAAATTGTTCAACTTGTCCCTAGAATGACATTTGACCTACTTATGTGAGTGCAAGCTTAGACTGCACCTGTCTTTGTGTAGACTCGCGTGAGTGTTGTCATCAGTTAATCTGTCGGGCAACAGTAATGAAATTATAGTTAGCATCGATTGCTGCCTCTCCGTTATATCGTCTTGACCTTCATGATTGTATTTATACTTCACTTGGCAATGGTACATGTGTGACCTCCGAGAAGAACTCGTCAAATTCACTTACTATGACAATCAAGTATAACGACATGCCAAGTCAGTGAATACAAGTGTATTTAATGCTTGGACTGTTTTTTTGTTTTTGTCAGGTATTGGTATGTATTTCTAGTTTCTAGTCGAACTACCGTTTCATAAATCACCAGATGGCGCTGTGTAATACCAGTTACCGCTTCTCCCGACACCAAAATTCGTAAATAGCTAGTTATATATGTGTAGTCCCAGGGGGGCGTACTTCCATTGTTGAAGTATACGGATATGCACCGCTATTTTCTCGGTCAAGTCGATCTTTGTGACCCAAATTTTAATGCTTTCGTCTATCGAAGCAAAATGTAGAACATTTTGGCGGAAAAAAGCAATTTCTAGCAAAAGTGCGCCCTCAATGTCGATATTTGTGAATGTTCAACTGGTTGCGGAGCCCCCCCCCCTAAAAATCCAGGTCAGTACTCCAGGGTGTGTAGTTAAGTCAGAACGTAATTTTAAATCTCATACAGCTCTAGCGATTTGAAAAATGGGGATATGCTGTACACTTGTACCAGTGTATTACGTTGCGTACATATACCAGTGCTCGCGCGCTGGGACCAGTGCACGTGCAATACAATGATTATTATATTTTAGACCCAACCTGTTCCGACCTCATATGATAACTAGAACTAAATACTTTCATTTGCAACTAGGTATTCACCAACATACAATATCAAACAATAATATTAATAATTACATTTTCTCATCTATATTGCATCTTTTAAAATCAAAATTCTACTCCCCAACCTATCAGTTACATGATCTTTAAAAATGGAAACAACTACTAAGTATTATTTTTTCAATCGTTTTTGGAACGTTATTCACGAGTGACGTTTTCATGAATGATGGATTGTGCTATATATATATATACATATAACAGTCACATTATCGTTATCAGTAAAATTGATCTCAAGCAATCATGTAATTGACATTATTTGAGATGAACGAATCAGGCGAGTTTTTATACATGTATATACGAATACTGTAGAACTTGAAATAGCTTTTGGGGTTTGCTTTATAATAATAATTCTCAGCATGGATATTTATTTAATCAAGAATTCAATTAACATATGCAAATATAAACAAGGCAGGATTTGATACGTCCAAGTTTACTGTCCGCAACATACAAGGCGATCTCTGATTGGCCTGATTCTTAGGTACTAGGCTTGGGCAGCCAATCAGGCACAATCTTGTAAGTCCCATTGACTTCAATTTTCATTGAGATTTCATAAAGGTGTCAGTAGGTTGAAAATATTAGAACAGGGCGTGAGGTAAATATGAAGCCCCCTTCCCTCATTGTGTACTACGAGGATACCAGATTGTAGATTCAAGAATCATATCCCCGAACAATTGGTCACAGGTGGTAAGACACATACTCACATTCTAGCGACGGTGTGTCCACAATGAAATACTGCCTTTGTCGTATGGCATAACGTAGCCTGTCATGACACGATCCTGAACTTGTCGATACTACCGATAGTGTAAACAATTAATTGACATGTGTCTCAATTTCGTAAGAATTGCCCCAAAAAATGTTTTTTGCTCAAAAGTAGGCCTGTATTTCTGTGCAATATGTTTATAAGCAACCGCCAACGAAACGAAAATGTAGATTAGCGTGGCCTTCGAGAACAGTCACGCTAAATCTTACGGTGACAATGAAGCAAGTAATTATGTATTCAGTGCGTTACTTTCACCTACGTAGCGTATGTTTGTCATAATAGACTGCTATAGCAAGGCCGGTTCGTATGAGTAGTTAGATCTTCACTTCGGCTGTGGGTTGTTCTTGCTTTAAAAACAGACAACACACTGGGCGTGGATATTTGTTCGCCATATAAGGGCGCACAGTCACAACTGGCTTCGAGTATTATAAATACGGAAGCCTCCTAAGTACGTGGCAGGCGGCGGTGGCGATCGGCAGCGGAGAAACTGGAGGTGCTCACCCACTCGGTCTGTGTTTGTAATCGAACACCGCTATGTCGACAACGGTAAGTAGGTACTTTCAGTTGCGACGCGTATATTGGTGCGAAATACTGACGAATCCATTGAATAGTGGCGACGAGAAATTCTAACGTGTCGATCGCCCGTAACTACGTACTCGCATAAACATCGAGTTTTATCGTGTTTCACCTGAACATTGAATCGAATCATTCGACTTTTGTCATCGGCAATACAAAACATCTGTCAAACGAAACCCGCTACTAAGTGTATGCTATAAAATTATATATAAAATTCGTTGCTACGTGACGTGTTCGTTTTCTATCGCCTTTTTTCACAATAGTTGTGTTGTCGTTCGTTCCCCAATGTGTGTACCCCCTATTATACGCACGCACATAATGGCACTAAATAACCTGAACTTATCGCCATTGTCATCACCCACGCCGAGATCAAATCGTCGAGAAAACCGACTACTTCATTTATATACTGAGACATACGCTTTTTCTTTCATGTCAACTGTTATCTCTTAAACAGATTGATGATTTAACGGAAGAACAGTTATCAGGTGAGATATGCACTCAGTTATTTTTCAACCCCCGAAGATAACGTCATAATGGCGTTCGTGTCATTATCTGGATATCACAATTGTCTCGGAGATTCTAGTGTTTTATTCTAGTCATTGATGTCATCCGTGTGTATAGCAAACTGAACGGCTTTGTCGTTTATGTCGACAAATGGTGACGATATAATAAATGTATCTGGCTTGGAAGCTAGCAGGCAATTTGAATACACACTGTGCCAGTGTTAGCATGTTCACCACGACGCGAGTCATTCATGTATCCTGCCAAAATAACTGGAACAGAAGTCTAATCTTGAAACGTGTAGTAAACAACACCGAAATATTTAGATCAACAATTCGACCTATTGAAGGGGTAGTCATTCAGATGAATTGTTACCGGGTAATTTTATAATCTGGGTTCACGCATGTACGTTTCTTTGAATGGGGATGATTGACGACACGACACTGTCACGATGACGGCCTCAGTAACATTACAAGTGTCTTAAGAAGTATTGTTCGCTCGAAGAATAGGTCTCCCCGTTGGCAGGGGGTTATCGACATGCTATCAATAGAAATGTTGAACTCCGCTCTCAGGGTTGCAAGTTGGTGCAAAATGCACGATTACGATCTGTTTACACGCTCGATGTAAGAAAAATACTAGCTGGGCTCCGACTTGTCCGGAAATTATACTGTATTTTTTGTGATCAGGGAGCTCATTAGATTTGGTCTAGAGACTAAATCGATTGTACAAATTATTACGGTTGTCGAGTGTGACGTCACTGTCGTTCAGTAGGGAAACCCGTAAAATTGATCGGCATTTGCTCATGCACTTTTACTGCGACGCCATTTTGTTAAAACGCTTCTCACTATAGAATGCAGGAAAATATCATTACATATTTTAATTATGCACGGGTATTTTCAAGATATCGTATGTATTCAATTAATAATGATATGTTCAACATACCGACAATAATGAAATAATTTTGCCCAAAAGCGGGCATCAACCTCGTACTGTGTAGACTTGGTTGTTATTTTGATAGTATCAATGCACGTTTTGAGGAGAACAATCGGCGAAATGTTCTCGCCTCACATAATACCGCACATTCGATACAGCGCTCGACTGAATAAACACTAGACACTATGTGACCATAGTAATTTTGAGTACACTGTATTAAGAAATAACAATCGTTACTTTCTGAAAACAACGTATATATTATTATTATTTGATCACGTGATACATATACATGTATACTGTGCTATTCAGTGTGCGTAGGCAAACAGCATAGACACGATTCATATTGTACCGTAGGGTATAATTTATTGTTTTTAACGAACCCACGCACTTAACAGCCCCGCAAAAACATTTACGCCTTGCTTTGGTGAGCGAAAGACAAACATGAACTGCAACAACCATGATGAATTGCATGAATTGACTTTTCATTCACCACATAAACAGCAAACGTGGTTCGGGTTACTTTCGTATTCATATAACATTATTATTCACAACTCTGCTATACTGTACACAATACTAGTATTATATCATACGTCCGAAAAGTACAATTAAAAAATTAAAAGAAATTTGACGACCGTGATTTTGCAAACCAACGTAAACAACCAATAGTACAGTGTTTCTAAACGAGTGACGTCAACGTGGCTACTATTTCTGTATCCAGCATTATAAACGTCCGTCTACAAGTATAATACACACACTAATGAAAACTAAAGTGCGTCCATAATGACAGAAGGCGGAATAAAAGCTTCCGAAGCAGATGCAATTACTTACGCACGACACGTAGTTATGTTCTCTCTTTTTTTTTTTTATAAAAAAAAAAATGTTTCTTGACGGAAGATTTGTTGCGAACAGTGACGCACGATTCACAACGGTATTATGATTAATAGTCACCATGGTTTTTGTTTTCCGCTTTGTTTGACTTCCAGTTGACGTCCACTCACAAAGTCACGCGTGATATGATGGTGATCTACATCAACTTCTTGAAATGGGAGGCTTAAAGTAATAATATTCATTCTCATTATCTTTATATTTACATCCCTGAAAATTGGCACGACATACGTCTACGTTAAAACGTGAGAGTCGTCAACTGCGCATGCGTCAGATGGCCATAGCGTGTCATTGTTTACATTGTTTACCCATGAACCTTTGCGTTTTAGCGCGTGTTGTTATCGTCGCTTGGGACTCAATTCCCGCGCGTGCGCAGGTGACGACGCTCCCGATGATACTGACGCTAAAGTGACTTGTATTAGTTAATTCAACAACAGAAGGCGCTTGTTTTACACACTGAATGACAAACTATCGCCCTGAGACGAGGGTGTCAGGCTGCAAGGTATAACAGTACTGTCAGTAATTCATCATGAAACGTACAGATGTAATACGTTCCTTCTGACGGAAGTACATGTAAACGGAGTCTAATATGGCAGTGGACGGCCCGAGTCATTGGAACTCGGCACCTACCGTTACGTTTATGGTCTCACGTACACACAAATGTAAATTAAAAATATTAATCCAAGCTAAAATTGACGATTGGCGATACATCAGACACAGATCACATTAATCATGCGTGAACTATTTTTTAAAAAAAAAAACAAGATGATCGTTAACATCGGCCCTCTTTAGTCAGTTTCCATAACGAAATGTAAATTGTAGTAAATTTCATTCAAATCTCATGCAATGTACCAATGTCTAGGGTACAACAGGAACATGAAAAGGAAGTAGCATGTGCTTAACCATTTTGGTAACATTATGAACGAAATAGCATGCATATATGAGTGGCCGAGTACAGAACATACCGAGTGCAGTTCAAGTACATATCGTGTTTAGCTCGAGCAAATCCATATAAGGCAAATGTCGAACAATAATTTGCATAAATTCGAGACTACTTGTAATCCAACTCAACAAATAATGACTTTGTTGTTTTTGGTATTCAGAATTGAAGGAGGCGTTCTCACTGTTTGATATTGACGGCGATGGTACGATAAACGCCAAAGAATTGGGAACCGTGTTGAGGTCACTGGGTCAGAATCCAACTGACAAGGAAGTAGAAGAGATGATAGAAGAAGTAGACGTTGATGGTAAGCTAATCGTGACCCTCGTTTTTTTTTTGGGGGGGGGGGGTTCTATCTCAAACTAGTAGCTAGTCTGGGGTTCTATTCAGTCAGAATGTGACGCATGGCAAGATCTATTTTATAGATGCTAGTTATAAATGTTGCTAATTGCATTTTACTAAATGTTGTTTTTTATTACATAAGGTTATTACATGTACCGTGACACATTCAATGAATCAACAGGTGGTCGTTCCGGTTAGGGTGCCTGCGATGGGAAATATCCTAACTAGATAGGAAATTATAAAATAAATCATGATACTGAAAATAAATCAACTTTTTCAGATCCGGAATTTGTGTATTTTTTTATCACAGGAAGCGGAAGTATAGAATTCCCAGAGTTCCTCATGATGATGGCGGGAAAATTTAATGAGACTACGACTGACAAAGATCTGAACGACGCATTTAAAATTTTCGACACTGAAAATACGGGATTTATATCGGTGGATGAATTGAAACATCTAATGACCACTATGGGAGAACGATTGTCAGAGGAAGAGATGGATGAAATGGTTGCAGACGCAAACGCTGATTCAGAAGGAAAAGTTAACTACGAAGGTAAGAGCGCCCTCACCCCGATTTTTATAATATTCTTTCTTTCTAAAATACCCCGTTTGAACGAGTTTTCACAAAAACTGTTCGGTTCATTGTACACATTGTATAATTTGGTATTTGTGTCAGAATTGATATAACGAACATCAATGTAAAATAAAAAAAAGATGTTTGCATTCTGGTCAAAGATGATAATTATCATAAACACATAAATAAAAATAAAGTTCTTTTTGCATTCTTGAAGAGCCACACCATTGCATGAAGGCGACACAAAACATCCATAGAATATCCACATGAGAAAAGACATTAAAGTAGCAACACAGTGTCATGGTCGATTTCATTTTAGCTGAGTTTGAAGCAGGGGCGGATCCAGCAAAATGTATTGGGGGGGGGGGGTTCCAAGCTTCGCTTAAAATTTACGAAGCGTGAATCGCAGAGAAGCTATGCGTAATCCCGATGATATGAATGATCGTTGGGGGGGGGTGGCCTCCCCTGCCCCCTCTAGATCCGCGTGACGACGAGTTTTAAAAAGCCCCACATTTCTATTTTCATAAAATTTAAAAAAAAACATAACATTCTCTGCAAAATTTAAAACTAGCATATTTTAACGCACTTTTGCTTATATGTTTTATTACAGAGTTTGTGAAACTGATTACGTCATATGCCAACGTCAGCGAGGCAGTCGGAAGTGCCGTCATTACCTGAGTGACTGAATTCAGCTTCTACCAGCGTCCGCTAATTAAAGCACTGCCTCAACAATTAAAAATACATTATGATTAGCTGCACGTATAGATGAGCTCTGAATCCGAGGACCACGATACTCGTTCATCACAACTCTTCCCAGACCACTCTCAGTCATTAAGTACCGTTACATAAGCAACCTTCTGCTGGTTGCTAGGCTCGAATTCAAATTTCCGTCCAAGAGCGCCCTCATATAGCGATAGAACTCACTAGTCAGTATGTAATACATCATACAATTGGCCTTTCCTTGGAGAATGTCTAAATAGGACTCCGTTTAGTATACTGAGACTGTTGAAAACTGACAATAGACAGTTTGTTCTAGACCGAGGTTGGGTGTACCGCATTCGGATTACCGGTCTTATGAGTTTTGAGTACACCCTTCTAACCGAGGGGCAAGCACTACACGTATATTCACAAGTTTGTGCATATTTGCTCACCAAGTAGAATTCACATTAGCGACAAAACATGATATATAAAGAATATTATTTTGCCGACCACAAAACGTCAACATTAAAATCATTCTCACGTCATTATGACATCACTCCATATTATGAATATTCACTGCGCACTTGATGCCCAATTAAAAAGTTGTAAAATGGGCAGCTTCCTGTTTGTCTCTGCTTTAATCAAAATATACACAATCCTACTTATGAAGCTCCTCACCGTGCGGTGATATCATTAATAGTACAACTATTTTAGAAAGTATTTCGTCCAAGGATTGTTTTCTAATATTTTACTCTCTTAAATCTACTTAAGACAGTGAGATACTGACACATTTGCCAAAAAAGAGTGTACTAAAACGCAGTCCCGTTCAATTTAGCTTAGTGGACAATGCGTTCATTACCGTTGATTTTTATTGCGTTGTACATACAGTAACCGCATATCACAGAAGACGGACTAAAACATTATTACTTTTTCATCACTATCACTTACACATTCATCGAATTCTTATCTATTTTGTATTTTTCAATCTATTGTAAATATATGAAAAAAATTATTTAATAAATCATTTCAAAATAATAAAAATAAAGAATTATTGTTCAGCAATTTATTGTAATTCACTTAGAAAATGTAATGGAAAATTATGCTTGATAGGACTTATCAAGCTTTCGTATCCGTGATATGGATGTTTGTCTAACGATGTGTTTGTAGTTTTGACTGGTTTATTGGATCTCCGATATGAGAATTAACAATACGTCTTCGTCACCGACTAGGCCCAATCCGGGCCTTACTAGAAACGACCCATACACACGAGTAAAACAAATCCCTATGCATTGTCCTATTTTCGGCAAATTAGACATTTTGATGATTTATTGGTAAAGTTTAACACAAATCGACGGAAATTGCATGTTTTGGTCAACATGGAATAAACGTCCATGTGAAAACACGGATTACCAATCTGTCCTGAAATAGCGGGCGGATTAGTCCCTCGGTGAGGGCGCAGTAACTATCGCCGACCACAGCTTGCTTATAATGAGAAACCAATTTTATTACATGTATATTGATTTGAACGAAAATCCAACAGCAATTACACCGCCCATAAAGCAAAGACAAAAGACTCCGCGTAATCACTGCGTTTTAAACACGTATTAAAGGAAATACTTACACATCACGTGAGATATAATATTACATTCCACATTATATCACGAGTGATCTCACGTAATAAATGCTATCTCGATTCATGTATGGAGTAATACAAATAGAAAGACCTAATTACCTTTTTAAATACAATACAATACGGGAATACAATATACGATTGCTAACAGCCCGGCTAGCTCAGTCGGTAGAGCATGGGACTCTTAATCCCAGGGTCGTGGGTTCGAGCCCCACGTTGGGCGTGACGTTATTTTAGTAACATTAATGTATAAGTTTATCTGACTTGTCAGATTACTTCTGTCTGCTTGTCTGTCTGCCCGCACGCACGTGTTAAGTCTTCTGTGATTTTTCTTTGACTGGGCCGATTATTTAAAGCTTGACAGGAAAGTCGCATGTGTATACTATTTAGATGAAAATCTGAAAAAAAAATTTGCTCACCACTACCATGGTAACAGCCAAAAAACTTTGTTTCCACCTTCGCGTCAAATGTTTCTTGTTTCTTGTTATTTTTGTTCTTCGCCAACCCTTGGTCAACTTTTTCGTCAGAAACGGCATTTCAACTTTTTTAGGTGGCCGATTTTGTTCAAACTTGACAGGCAGGTCCAACCCGCATTTTGGAAGGAAATTATGTTCTAACGTTGCCATGGCAACACCCTAAGTCTGAATTTGCGGCCCCGCGAAATAAATCTTTGAGAATAATTTTCGGACATATCTCATATTGCTCTGATTGAGTGTGTCTAAAGTTACTATTTTGTGTTTGAGTCGATACCAGTGCTTCCACTGGGTCGATACTATGCTTTTCGCGTCTAACAAACTTTTTCTGGAGTTGATCCAATGTAAGTATTGTCAGGCCTAGCAGAGAACCTTTCGGGCTGTCGGCTTGTATGCATATCTGTACGTATACGTATAACCTTTTCCTTGATTTGTTTTTCGCGAACCAATCCTGTTCACTGTTGATAGGCTGATCACAACTGCACTAAAGTTAGTCGGAAAAATTGACAAAAAAAAATGATGTTCTACCGTTGCCATGGCAATGCCAACAAAATTATTTTTTGCGTTCCCTCGCGGATCGACAATCAGCCTACCGGCTTGTCTGACTGTTTCTTCTTGAAAACTGTAACTTTCTGAGACAAAAAAATAAGATCGGAGAAGCCAATATGTATGCTTTGTAAGGTACCAACATAGGTCAGTTGTTCACCTTTACAGTCACGGTGAACAGATGTTAACAAACTGTTTAAAGGTGAAATATTTTCATAAGTTCTACCCAAAATACCAGCCTGGACAACGTGTCGGTACAAGTACATAGAACGTGTCGATGTACTGAACTGATTCGTGAATCAAATAACACTGAACCACACCAAAGCTGACAACGATGTGCTAAATACCGTGCATGGTGTGAATTTCGTTTCTATGGCTATGGTTGCAACACCATAATCTAGACTTTCAAGTTTAATTAAATTTCCTTTTTAACAGCCACACAACGAACAAAGCACATTATATCGGCACAGTACAATCAACTGTTTACAACCAATAAACGTGGTTTTCCAGTGTCATGATAATATGACCGAATTGAAAATATTTGTCCCGTCTTGTCAAGTTCATTATAAGAGCAAGTACAAACTAAGACGTATACTAGTATACTCGTACATTCAAGTTTGCGTAGCTTTGAGGTAAGTTTCCAATTCATTTCCACCATACTTGATTGGTGTGCGTAGTATTGTATCATCTAACGTCTTGGTATAATTTCAGGTACTATGGTAGAAGTGTGTGTACAAATACGTTTCGTTTTTCTGTCGATGCTAGTATTGAAATCATCGACATTACAATGTGGTAAGTCTCCTCTCATGCAGAAAAAATAATTTCGTTTACATATAATTATATTACGGGAAGGAAACAGTTTATAATATATAAATGATACATACTACAACACCCACGCATGCGTCAGTAAAAGACAAACCTCACTGTAATTGTAACTCGCGAACTAGGATGTCGCGCGAACTTCATGATAATTCAGAAACCAACAGTTTTCTGTATTCGCAATATTTTGTTAAACGTCCAATATTTGTACAATCCTGATCCAGGATCACTTGCAGTCTCAAAAACATTTTATAAAAGTAAGGCGGTCTATTTAAAAAAAAATAATGTTACATGTGGCGTTACCAGCACACAACGCGATGTGCTCATTTCTAGTTCTAATTGTTTTTACTTGTTGTTTGATACAGATCTAGAAATCTACGAGTTTTCGATGTCCAATCCTTACCCAGATGACACAAGTACAGACTTCCTTCAAAATGTCGACACAGTCGTACGTTTGGCGACATTCTACGTTAGAAATAACGGACCGGACGACCTCCCAACATCCGGGGCAGACAATAACTATGACGTGAAAATGTACATCAGCGCCATCAGCGCAAACGGCAATATGATTGACCCTATAAAGGTCACGACTTTCAACATCAGCTCAAGTATAGATAATTTGGCGGCGTCCCTGGACAGTACTCTCACCGATTCGTCGAGTAACCACTTCTTTATATCCAGCAATTATTTACTGCGATATCCAGGTGAAAAATGCTCCACTCACAGCCATTTGTGTCTGATGTTAGTAGAAGACCAAGGTGTGTACACCGACGATGACGTCACTAATAATATGGCGTGTCTGCGATTTGCCAACGGACCAGGTGGTAACGCTGCCGGTTTGACAAACTGCCCGCCAGGTGAGATTTAATTGTATATGATCTGAAAATATAATAATAAATGTACATTAAATGGAAAACCACCGACGCTTATATAGTTGTGGAATTATGCACTCTGATTAATTATCATAAAGTCGTTAGATTCAGACAAACAGTTACGACTCGGATTGTATCATAATTTAACGTAGGGGCGTGTGTGTCCTCCATCGGGTCTTGCATCTTCAAGTTCTTAAATTAATTTTGTCATTACTATTTCAGATATAATCCCGTCATTTCTGCATATCTTCTCCGATGTCTCAAACTTTACCTACGCAAGCCGTACAGATGTGACAATGCAACTCATCCTGAGAAATGCAGGTGGTGGAAAAATAGTTTCTGCGAACGAGGCCAATGAACTAAAAGTTTTTGTTTCCAGTGCCACGGACGAGGATGCCACAACCGTGTACGATCTCAGCGGTTCATTAATATATTTGAACGGTGACGTCAACGCTGTTATTGGCGAATGGGCTGAAGTGACCCTTGAACTAAAAGCTACGCTATACATACCTTCGTACGAATGCTATAAATACAAGTATTTCTGTGTCAAGTTCTTAACAGGTCAGTGTTAGTAGAATTACATATTAAGAATAACTCTGTCTTTGGGTCTTTTTGTCAATGTTTATTTATCACAATTTCATTCAAGTTACATTTTTGACGTGTATTTCATTTTTAGGTCCCGATGCGACACTTAACGAAGACGACACCAATAACGTGATTTGTCACTCGTTCGGTGACGGTATAGGTTATATAGAGTGTCCGGATGAAACGATGAAAGCGGCCAACCACGCTGCTACCACACTTTCTGCTCCAATCACTACACGTGTTTTAACAGTGTTTATTATAGCCACGTACCTGACATAACGAAATGCTTACTTCATTCTGTTTTCTTATTTAATTATTTTTTTGAAATACATTTAAATCGCCACTCATACCGAGTTCATAGTTGCTGTCGACATAGGAAGTAAAGTAAGCAAATAACACCGAATAAACGGCAAGGTAAAGACTATGTCTAATTATAGTAAATACGTACTGCGTGCGTGACTCGAACCGGCGCTCGCGTACGGCACCTAATCGCCTAGCTTCACGCCACTACACGTCTTCCCCTCGGCCACCGGGCATCCCCAAAAAAGGATGCTTAATAACCGAGCTTATTACGTGCAGAGAACGTGAAACCCGTCCACGCGATACGCGCCACACAGCATGGCCAGAATGCGGCAAAGGCCTTCAGATCTGGCTGTAGTAGGATGGTGAAAGTAATGGTACAGCATTTTAACAGTGAATAAGTACTGAGAAATAATTTTTAAACTCATAGTTGCTGTCGACATAGGAAGTAAAGTAAGCAAATAACACCGAATAAACGGCAAGGTAAAGACTATGTCTAATTATAGTAAATACGTACTGCGTGCGTGACTCGAACCGGCGCTCGCGTACGGCACCTAATCGCCTAGCTTCACGCCACTACACGTCTTCCCCTCGGCCACCGGGCATCCCCAATTTGAAGAATTTCTATTTTGTTTTGGATTGAAGGAAACCACGTCAGATAAAAGGGACAATGTTAATAGTTAAGAATATATAATGTTGTCTGATATTGCATCTTCTCAACATTTATTATAAAATAAAGAAATATTGGTTTGGCTACAAGCACAGCAGTATTCGAGATTTTAATTACTTGACCCATGGAAGGTACTAACGGTACCTTCCATGCTTGACCGTATACGTGAAACCAGAACGCATGCGCATTAGTTTTCTGTATTTAATCAAGCTAATACAGCAGCCAATAGAAGGATTTGATTTGATTTTTTCTATTTTATTTTCTCTTTCTCGAAACCACGTTGATTTCTGACATACTAGTATAGTCAGTACCCTAGTTATTGTACATGGATCAAACAGAAAATTACACAAGCAAGTTTATCTCTAATAAGTTACCATATCAAAATCAATATTCATAAAGATTATTTTTAATAAGAATAAAATACTAGTAGTTTAAAAAATACAGCGTATACTCGAATTGTGATATTTTACAGAAATTGTATGATAAGGCGTTATGGTTATATTGAAATACTACACTCCAGTTGGCGGCAATTTCAAGTTTTCCGTGAAATCCTGACCTGTAACGTAAGAAAAACAAATTAACAATTCGGCTACGGTTTGGCAAGGAAAGAATGCACTGTGTGGTAATTCCAGGGACGTATGCACCAGACTGATAATACAATTTACAACGCTCACCAAAAAGTGTGAGAGGTTTAAAACGCAGCTTTTAAAAGATATTGCATTATATATAATCAGTACTCTTAGTCTAAGTTCATATAAATATTTAGTTACCTTAGTAAGTGTTACGTCACACATGTTCAGTTTTCATTATTTCATCTTCACCAGGCAATGACAGCTGAACAGCGCCAATACGCGCCCATATACGTACGTGGAGCCGACACTGAAATGCAAAATAAAATTTATTTGTAACCGGCTATAATTTTAGTGAAACTACACACTACAATGTTATGGGTTAACTGATGGTATAATTGACAACACGTAGAAATGTTATTTACCTGATGGACGTGTACCGCATACAGCTGGCTACATGTATAATGAACGCACCAAACCCCACCGATCGTCTCTACACTAGCAGACCTGTACGCGATAATCCAGGCTTCAACTCAAAAATGCATTTTCATATGCTAAAAAGTTAGGAAGTGGTTCTGAATTATACCAGGCTGGTATTCTGTCGACATTGAGAGGCGGCAAGCTATTTTCAGGCGTTGGTGGCGGTGTGTACGGCAATGGAGTTGGTGTATGAGCGACAGGAGGCGGATTGTCTGGACGGAATAGTAATTCATCGTCGATCCCTTGATGGGCATTTTCCTCTGACTTGTTCTCACAATGTCCGCTGTTCAGGTGAATCTCTTTGACTTTCGTCTCACGTCCTATCAAACGACGAAACAGTGACCTCAACGCTCTTCTCCAATTTGTTTCTTTCTTTTCCGGTCTTGCACAAAATGCCTTCGCCGATCTGACTGCTGGTCCCGGTGTTGGTCCTGCAGACATACCGCCCTCATCGTAGTCTGGCATCACGCCTACTGAATTTGGTACGCGTATACAGCACGAAAACATGATTGCGTTTTCTGAATGACAAAGTAAATGCGGAGACTGTGACAAACGTTGCTTTCACACTTACAAAGTATGGCTGTATGAAAGTGTTCTGCGTTTGGAATGGAACATGGATACGCATCACGCGTGTGACGCAATGCGTTTGTTTCTGAACTTCACGTTCGGAGTTCCCGGCGTCCTTTGCGCGGTGACCATCGTGAACCAGGAACCACCGCCCAACACGACGCATCGCCTAGGTGTTCTCTACTGTATTCTCCACTAAAAACGAAACTGTTTCTCGAGATCCTCAGCCAACAAATGTTGTATTAGATGTGTGTCTGAGCATCCATTGATAACTGTCGGTGGACAAAGGTTTTTGTTTCTGAAAATACTAGTATCAACTCGCTAACACTTTCGCGAGGTTTCGTTTGCTCAAAGGTATATAAAATTTGAACTTGTAATCCATCACTTAGGAAATAGAAAATAGTTATAGCGCTAAATTTACATAATAATCCAATTGCCCCAAATTCGAAATGTTTCTCTAATGATTCCGTGTCATTACGTATTCACTCCAGCCAGCGTTATTGCAACACAGTCGTGTATTCACGTTCCATTTCACGTCTGTGCCCAAAAGCGTGGAAGCAACGCACGGAGCCCCAATGATTTAGTTGCATAGGTGAATCCAGAATATACTCACCCAAAAGATATCGCCACATATCGACAAGTGTTATTGCGCTCTCGGATCCACTAGGACGTATGCCTACGGGTTCACAGACCACTTTTCAGGAAGTCTAAGGTGATGCGCGCACATACCGTTTTGGGGTGTAACGTAAACTTGCACGCGTGACATTGTGGTTCTGGATGTACCAGTCGACGTCAATAAAATAAATCTACCCTTCTATCGTGTATCAGCATAATGACATGTTTGTGTTTTCCGCCATGACGTTTCTCTGAACCCGATTCTCGCTACTCCCGGGAAAGTGGTCCATTCGAATGCAAACTAAAAGGGCGCAGCAACCCACACCGACCATCACATCAGGTACAATGATAGTTGTTACTACGGATACATATCTATCTACTTGTGGGTATTGAGTATCTCGTAAAATCACTTTATTACTGATTATTATACGATAAGCACGGTTATATTCGAGTATGTTGGCTTTTGGTGATTACAGGGTCAAAAATGTGACACGATGTCCATAAATCAATTTCATGATTTATCGTTTGTTACAACATACGGTCAGTGACAGATTACGTGAAGTCAGGCTGAAAAACAAGAACTTCTAATTCCCAATTCTCGGTAACGTTGGTCGCAAATCCCAAGGCAGCGTCTCTCTACATCAGGTAAATGTCATACTGTTTATTTACAGTTTCCCTGAGCTGCATTGAAACTATTATCCGTGATCGACGTACACTATAATATGATAGGCTCTGTCATTAATAGTTATACTGGAACATTAATAGTTATACTACATGTATAGGTTTCATTATGATTCAAACTCTTCAAAATCTTCAAAACAATCTTCCAAGTGAAATTAATGGAAAATCCAACAACATAGCCACACAATTAAAAAAAAACTAACGCGTTGCTTGAAAACAGGAGTGGTTTACAGTTGATGTTAGCCCAGGGGTGGATGGAAAATACTAGTATATTAGTTCTCCCTAAACGCCCTCTATAGTTTAATTTTCTATCCCACAATCCTTTGCAAAATGCAATATAGAGTTAGCACACTTCTTCCCTATATAACATATATGCGTATTTTTTATACAACAACTACTAGTAAGTCAATAAATAAACAAACAATAGTTGTTAAATGTATACTGACCGCATAATTTCTCAATTATGTAGGAGCAGAAATAGTCCTCCTATAGTAATAGACTATTTGCGGGTTTCTGGTGCACCGTCACCGTCTCGTTTATACAAACAGATTCGTTAAATTAATGCAAACTTATTCTGGTGCTATAGATAGATATTTGGGAACAATTTTAGCGATTATTGCAAAAATGGCTTCGAACGAAAGACGTACTTGAACAAAAATACCACGTGACATTTTCCGCAATTTGTCTATTGGAGCTATGCTATGCGCGGCAATCAATTAACTTTACAGACGTTTCTCCTATCTGCTCTTAAAAATGGATAAACAAGCACAGCAACCAAGACCGGTTGTTTGACTCAATCATTGGCAGATCTCCAAAACTCACTATATCCTATATCCTTCATCCCTGGCAACAAATGGCAGTCACAGAAATTCATGTTTTTCCTTTTTTAGACCATTCAGCACTTTTCCACAAAATTTAAATAAACTCAATAACGACAATGTTTACGATATATTCACATTTTTCATCCAACATTCTGTCTTGAGTTCAAGCGGTAGTGTCCAAACATGTTTACTCGAGCAACCACGGTTGTGTACAATACGATTTTGAGGTGTTCAGGCACTGTACGACTAATCTATATATTATTACGTACGCGAACTAATACAATGTATCTTAGTTGTTACCAGGCATTACGTGCATACCACACAACGGCCCACTCAGAATCTCAAGGGAATGCTCATTTCTTTCATGTAAAAGTATTGTTATGGCGCAGACTGAAGGTTAAGTATTCCAATTGTAACAGTGAATGATAGTGTTCAGACTAAACTTTACGGTGAATACATATATGTAAGTATCCTTTCCTCATTGTCGCTGCATAGATTCAATAGATATTTTCTCCGTCGCAATGACGATTGCCTGATACACAGATATTGACAATGGACGGGATCTAGGAACATCAA